CTCGTCTAGCATATAAAGCAAGACCAAGCTGCAACTGCTAAGGCATAAAAGCCAAATCAATCTGCAGAGAGGGGTTGAAGGCAACGTCCCCGATTTGCAATGCATTTTCTAGAGCTGCTATCAAAATCTGAAACGTAAACATGTCCATGTAAACACGAATGTGCATGATGACAAACTGAAAAAGGAGCAAGTGATTCGAGAAAGACTATCTTCACACATGTCTCAAAAACAAAAGAAGAAAGGAGAGCCAAAGTGTTGATACACTGACTCTTCACTCAGCTTTTCTTTAATTTCCTCTGGTGCCTCTCCTCACAGGATTAGAATTCACATTGCAAAAGGCAAAACGTTTTTCTGGGAAGTCGTTCCTTTGGTCTAGGCTCAGAACTAAAGGAGAAGTTACTTGAGAAGGCTGTTATTTGTGTAAATATGTTCTGTCGTACAGCATGTGGCATTTGGCTTATCTCCTACTGACTAGAGCATGCAGAAAATATTGCTGCAAACACAGCAATAACACAAATGTTACGTGAAGCCAACACTTTACAATTACTTTAAATACACGTGTCACAGTATTCTCACCCTAATCCAGTCAAGTGAAGAACATCAACTCATTGCAAGCATAAACATCTGCAGAAATATGAGAAAAATCCCCTCTACTAAGAGCTCTTAGGGTAGTTATTGGTGCAGAAGGTGGTTCAGGAATCAGCAGCAAAAGCAAATAACCAGGGCTAAATCAAACATTTTAACTAACTCTCAACCTCGGTAGCAGTACCAGCTGATCACAAATACCAAACTGTACTTACGTCTTGGCCTCCAAACAAAATGAACATTTTCTACCCTCAAAACTTCTGCAAACTACCAAAATTTGAAGCAGTGATCAATGACAGTACTAAAACCAGGGCCTTTTCATCTCCCAAGTACTTTTCAGAAACTTAAGTTATCACTGTTAAATATGGCTTGGTGTTTTCTAAATTACAGTCTGGGCTACAGCACTGCCTGACATGTGACTCAAACCCCGCTGCGCTCTTCCAAGTGACTCAAGAAATAAGGCTGGAAAAAGACGACAGCCTCCCCCACCCTTCCACATAATGAAAGTTCACGCATCCCAAAAGACACTGTGCTCACACATGTCCTGCAAAAGTTTTGTGAAGTCTCAGAAATCCCTCTGAGCTGTAGTAATTAAAAATTAACACACAGGCTCTGGATCAGGCGATGGAGAAGAAAAGTTCGTCATTTCCACTATGACCCCCTCATTCCTCACCCCAGCAGGTCACCCTGCCCAGCAGCGTTGTGCTAATGATCATCATACAGTTGTTTAAGCCTTGTCAGCTCAAACCCAGGCAATTATTTTTAGCAGGACCAGGATACGGCAATATTAACGGACCCAACACTCAGTAAAGGAAACTCACAGTTTATGTTGCATCCTCTGAATTTGCCACTTCTTAAGGAGCACAGATGTGTTATATTGGCACCGGCAGCGGTCCGTCGGTTGAGCACTTCGCTTTTCTAAGCACATCAACAGTAGATGTTTCACAGATGTATGCAGAAATATACTAAAACTTAACATCTGCTACAGAGTCTCGATGAGGATAAGCACTGCAACAGAAGCTACCCATCCCTTAAAGGACTATAATAGGGATTTGTGAAATAGCCATGACTTTCCTAATCACATTCATGAGGGACTAACATGAATGTTGTCTCATCTAGAGACACCTGCACAGGACTGACCTTCACCTTCTGCCACCTGACACTCAAAAATTAAAACTGTGAAAAGTAGAATTTTCTTCACTCTCTTTTAAAAATAATACAACCCCCAAGTTATATATTAAAAAAAAAAAAAGGGTGTTTAGGAGAAACATGAGGCTGCAAATCCAGAAGCAGCATTTATCAGAATCACCATGGTAAATTGACTCCTGCGCTACGGGCTCCAATCCTGGCAACTCTGGTGGAAGGGCTTTCCTGCTCTCACATTGTTCAGGAAGGTGAAAATAATCCTCTACTCACCAAACAATGCCTGTACCAAACTTCAAGGAAAAAAATCCCAAAGAAAAAGAGAATTCCATGTTCGGCATCCCCAGCAATGTCAACATCGGTATTCAGGCCATCAGCACTTGTCATGGTCCTCCCTCTGCTACACAGACAGCCCTACGGCTAATCCCCCAAGGAAAAACCGCCAGTGACAGATGTCTCTTCACAGCACTGAACGTGTTCGAATTTTCTTTTTTTTTCAAAGTTTCATTTATCCACAAGCAAGTGGCCTTTTATTTTCTTTGCATCTACCACAGTTATGCTTTAGCTTTGTTTTACTTCATCATATAGATTTATTTTGGTTTTGCCAGCCACCCTCATTGTCTTGTCTGTTACCTTAGTAACAGTGCTAGCACACTGTCAAATGGGTCACTGAACATACACAGTACCTGCCATATTTCTAAAGCAAGTTCTTCAATATAAAAAACCCATATAATTTCAATTAAAGATATACTTTAATATTTATTTCTGCGAATAATTCCTAGCTACCAACTCATTTTGTTTTGTTCTCTAAATTATCACACCGATACCCAAGTCCTTCAAATGGCAAGTTACAACCACATTTTATGATCTCTGTAAACCTCTACATTATAACAGACCGGGATTTTGAGAACAGAAACTAATATTACCCAAATCAAGTTTCCCATATCTGCTTGTATATTTCGTCTTTGAATTAAAATCCAACATAATCTACTCTTGACCCCACCTAGAAAGCTACCAGACTCAGAAAAATTCCCATCTAAAATATGTACCTAATTTCTGAGCAAAACACAATCAAACACAGTGTTTTAGAAAAACAAGGTTCCCTAACAAATGAGGAGGGGGAAAAATCCAACACATAGACATGCCACTGAGCTGTGTATAATAGTCAGCTTCAAAATACAAACAGCACATTTAATGTCCCTCATACAGCAAACAGGACACAAGTAATTTTCTGGTTCCCCTTGTTTCCAACACCGACAAGCCCCTCCACTCCAAACCACTAAATTACAATTCCCTGTGTTGTTGTTCGCTGTCCAAACTGATGCACCTTTTCTCAAGCAGTTACCTACATCTGCATATCAGAACTGCTGTCACGGTTTTTGCTTCTCTAATAATTGTCAAATCTTCAATCTTTTCACACTGTGATTCACTGGGTTTTTCTGCTGACCTTTCATTTGGCATGCCAATCTCTAAAATTTCCCTTCACTTTCAAAACAAGTTTCCTGTGGTTGCCCCAGTTAGAGGGGCACTTTTTTTTTTACTTCCCTTCAAGGCAGTCTATTTTCTTTTGGGGGTGGGGAGCTAATACTCAAACACATTTCAAAGGGTGTTATTTTACATTAGTGAGCTCCTCCTAAGCCATCTTCCTTTTATTTGCTTTCAGAAGCTTCAACTGCCAGTGAAATCAATGACAGTCACCCCACTGGCTTCACAAATGGCTCTCAAAAGCATCTCACCACCGCAGCATTTGGAAGCTACAGCTATGTATTGCCTCCGTAGGTGTCAGTGTCAGAGCGAGCGAGGAGACTCGTTTCTAAATCAGCCCAGTTCATAAAGAAGTACCGCATGGCGATGGCCAACACTGATGCACTGATACTTAAATATTTATCAGCAAGTTATCTCAGCTGTACCTTGCCAGTCATTTTTAAGAGCGTGCAAGTTCTCCACATATAATTTCGCCAAAGGAAAGTATATTTGGAAGGAAGCACCTGTCCAATCATATCTAATACATACTACCATAAACGCTCCGGAAATCCTTTAATAAACCAATTCCATTTCACCTTGTTATTAAGTGGTCTGCCTCTGCTATTCACGCCAGAAAGCTGCACTAGCACCTTGCTGTCAACACATAAGACTTCTTCACAGATTACATGTGTTCCAGTCGTTTACTACTCTGTGCTTTCTTTTATGGCGTGTACAGACACACTTGTACAATAACAGTGAGCCTATCTCTACCTGTTTCAGTCTTTTAGGATTATCTCTTTCTCCAACACTGTCAACCAGGATTAGGTGCAATATCCCACAGGAGCTGCAGACTGCTTGTCACAGGAGCACTCACTGAAAAATAACAGTAATTCTGAAATTGCACTCACTTTTCCCCTTGCCACTTCACCTTGATAGTCCACACTTATTTTGTGATTAACCTGAATATCAAGGTCTTTCTTCTGTCACTTACAGTTTATGACCTCCCAATCTATAGCAAAAGCACAAGTACTTTGTGGCATGTTTTATCCCACTTGTTTCATTCCATACTTCCTAATCTTCCTGCATGATATGCATCTCCACAGAGATGATACTCCCAGCTCTAGCCTAGTAATGAAGTTTCCTGAGAACAATGTTACTTTATGCGTTATCACCAGGAATGAACAACTCTAATGGATGGGAAAAACCAGCCAGCCAGTCCCAAAACTGATCCCAGAAGGCACATTATCAGGTAGAAATTACTAGCTACACTATCGTCACCTGACTTAAATTACTGTTCTTGTATTAAACCTCATCTAAATTATTTTTCATACTCTATGAAATGTTTTACTGAAATTCAGAGAAACTTATGGCTGACCTTCATAATGGGTCAACACGGGTCACCCTGCACAAAGCCCCTCCCACACTGATGCCACAGCAGAGCCAAGCTCAGGTCAGGTCACCCCATGCTCAGCCCCAGTGCTTAGCACCTCGTTCACCTGCTCCACCTCTGGGATACTAGTTTGGGACACAGAGACTATAGGCACGTCGGCATCTGTCCTCCACTGTTTGCTACTGCCTTTAGTCACGGTACTGTACGCTCCTGGAATGCTTAGATTAGATTTGTAATTTTCCTCCTTATTTTAGCGTAAAATCAAGCAGGATGAGCTGTAATCACTTCCAAAATGGATGTTCATGTGATGGCCAAGTGGTCCATGACATAAAATCCTCTTATTCGGTTATGCTGGTTTTGTCATTGGAGTACCACAGCAGTCCTTCTTTTCTTTGATGAGGAGGGGAAGCAACTCGTACGAGGATCTATCACTTGCTGCCAAGTCAGATTGTGTCACGTTCTTACTGAAACATGGCATAACCCATGACCAACCTTTTCATTCTCAAGGAGCAGGCAGTACCAGGCTGTAACAGAAAAACCTCAAGTCCTAGGGATCACCTCCGTGCCTTTTTTCCACATCACACTACGGACAGAAACCCTAAGACAACTGCTACAGGTTGGTTCTCGTCGACAAGAGCTATGGGACACCACCTTTCACGGGACGTTGCTCTCAGCTACAGCACGCAGTGCTCAGTCCAGGCCCCTCAGCTGTGCCTGTGGCAGCAGGCAGTGTACTGCAACAGGAGCACAGCAAAGCAGTGTCTGGGGATCAGACACTCCTATCGCATGTTTTGGAGGGGCCTGGAGGGGATGCTAGTGCCACAGGCTGAACACCCCATGCTGGAGCGCATCATGTAAATATCTGGAGTATATCCTCCAGCTAAATTTCATCCAAAAGGCATTTAGCGTGGTCCAAGGCCCCTTTCAAAGTGAACTAAAGCACAGCACAAGGACATAAGGGATGATCAGAAGATACATGCCCAAAGTCCATTTTTACCTGAACAGAGATCCTTGTACAGGTTCTAGCAGCATGCCTAGAGCATTAAGACCCCTTAATTTTTTTAATGTTTATTCGCTTTAAGCCAAACCAAAGTGAGAAAACTGCACTGCAGTCTCGCACTATGGTGCTTAGAAGTATGTGCAGCACGCCCAGGGACTTGCACGAGAATACGGATGTGTGGCATGTACTAAAATGCAGGACGACTGTCCAAGCAGCACTAGACAAAATGATGCAGTTCAGGTCTCTTCTCAAGAACCAGTCAGGGAAGTTCAGGTTTCCTCTAAGAGGCAGGTCATCTGGCTCACTCTAGATGGGAGCTTGGAAGTGAACTAGCACATGTGCTGTGAGAATGGTCGTGGTGCCAGGATGTTACATTAACATGAGGTGTAGGATAAGTTCACAACCAGAACAGTCCAAACCATGAAACACTTTAATCCTCTGTACAAAAAAAGTACATGCCAACAAGTGCTAATGAAAGAGGTGAGGGAAAGTGAAGCACTGCTTTCCTTCATGAGACAGGCCTTTCAAAGCATCAGCTAGAAACTTGCAGCCTGCTGTTCAGTCGCACACTGAATTACACTAAATCTGGGGTCTCAACCTTTGGCAAGGTAGCTTTTTAGGTGGGTAGATGCTGTGACTTCCAAAGAGCCTCTCAGAAATAAGGGACTACACATAAAGGTGGCAGACAAGCTTCAAGAGATGAGAGATAACGCCCCCAAAGAAAAATAATCTAAATTATTGGTACACAATGCTGAAACTGGAACTAGAATTTAGAACTTAAGGAAGAGAACTGTAAGTTAACAGAGTTCTCTAAAAACATGGACTCAACATGCAGCTGCAAAAAACAAAAAGCCAGCAGAACATGAAACAACGTGTCATTTTCAAACTATAAATAAAACTTTGGTACACCCACATCTCAAGTACTATGGCACTAGTCTTCACACCTCAAAAAAGGTGTAGTGGATCTACAGGAGATAAAGAGAAGGCCAACTAAGAATACAAAGAGCAAGAAGATATTAAGGTGGCTGAGACTGTTCACTTTTGAAGAAAAAAGACTGCAGGTGGATTTGCCCATAAAGGGCAAAATGAGTGGAAACTGTTACTCACCAAATCCTGCAACATTAAAGCTGGGAGCAGTTTCTTAACGCACAAAAGTTTCAGGCAAATGAAAGTAGTAATGTACTTTTCTATGCAACAAGCAGGGAACTTCCCAACACTGCTTCTGCAAGAGGTTCTGGAAGCAGACAGTGTAAGGTGGGTCAGAAAGGTATTCAATAAATTCACAAACAAAATGGATATTTAATAGGGCTAGGCAGAGCTGTAATTCTGGATACCAGAGGAAGACAAAGAGCGTGGACAGTGGCAAGGCTGACCTGCTTTCCTTAAATAGCCTCTCCTAACACTGTTGGGCGAGATGAACCACTGGCCTGAGCCACGGGCGTACTTCTCATCGTAGTGGTGAGCCTACTTTAAAGAGACAGGGGAACCTCCAAAAAAGGCAGAAACACTTCATAAGCTTTAAAAGAAAAAAATACATTCTCCAATTTCACTAGAAGTCTTGTAAAGAGAGAGGGGGGAAAAGAAATTCTCATTTGATTTTAGTGAAGTAATCTCCCTTTTGTCATATATTCACATTACACTCTTCCAATGTGTAAAAAAGCCCAAACCGAAACAATAATCTACCTGTTTTCAAAATTCCCGCATGGTTTTCCAACACCTGCTAGTCCCTTTCATGGCCCACGTGAA